TCCAATAAAACTTTATTTATGAACATGAAAATCTTAATTTCATGTAACTTTCTCCTACCACAAGATATTCTTTTGATTTTACAACCATTCAGTCTTGGCTCACAATAGGCCACATTGGCCAGTGGGGTATTGTTTGCTAACCTCAGGTTTAGATAACTGTCCAAAAGCTCCTAATGCTTTTCCAAAGGATTCCAGAAGAATCAAAATGATCCTAGGGATTTTATACCAGCAACTCACTTCCCAGCAAATCTTGGTTACATGCTTAGAAACCGTTAGCTAAATGAATCTAGCAAAGGCTGATCATTTTTGGTAGAATTGGGGTTGGAACCCAGGGCTTTGTGCCACACCTCCAGTCTATTTTGCTCTATTTTTGGAGATAGGGGTCTTTGGAACTATTTTTCTGGGCTGGCCTTGAACTTTGATCCTCCAAATCTCAGCTTCCCAAGTAGCTAGGATTGTAGGCATGAGTCACAAGGACCTGGTTTGTTCTTGATTTTCCCTGTGAGTGTCCTTCTCTTCTCTCTGAAGCACTTCAGGGGTAAGGACATCAGGTCAATGACAGCATCTGGATTACAAGCAATGAAAACAATCACAAAATGACTAGCTCTAAACTAGATTGAGAGCAAGTTCAATAGGAGCGAACCCTGATTACACTTGAAATTCTATGTATGTTAAGTTGTAAGCATGAAAATGTAATGTTCTCTACTTCATGACTCTTTCCCACTGATACTTTTTTTGGGGGGTAGTATAAGGGTTTGAACTGAGGGCCTCATGCTTGCTGGGCAGGTGCTCTATCCCCAGCCCTTTTTCGCATAAGTTATTTTTCAGACTGGATCTTGTGTTTATATCTGGGGCCAGCCTCAGATTACAATCCTCTTTCCTCTACCTCCCTAGTAGCTGTGATGATAGGAGGCATGAGCCAACACGCTTACTTATTTGTTGAGATGGGGGTCTCACAGCTTTTTGTCCAACCTGAACTCAAATTGAGATTCTTCTGATGTCTGCCTCCTGAGTAACTGGGATTACAGGTGTGAGCCACTGTGCCCTGCCCTCACTATGACATCTATAAAACCTTCCTAACGGAGAGGAAATGCCTTATTCCTCTACAATCCTCCACAGCAGAGTACTCCTCTGGCCCATTTTCCCACAGTGGACACAGACCTCCTCAAATAAATTAACCCCTTCCTGTCATGACTCAGTCAAAAGACAAAAGTACATGTGCTAAACCACATGACCACACCTCCAAGAAAACCACTTCTGATGGGTTTTTGTCCTAATAGGCATTGAAAAAACACTGGGCATTTTTTCCTTTATTTACTTATTTATGTTTTTTGGTGGGGAGAGTGATTGTGGTGGAAGGCAAGGCAGGGTCTCCCTTTGAAGTCCAGGCTGGTCTTGAACTCATGTCCTGCTGCCTCAACCTCCCAGGTGCTGAGATTACAGCCATACACTCCCATGACTGCCCTTCTCATCATCTCTCTTTCTTCCACATCATAAAGCAGTAGAGAGAGAAAGCTCTAAGAGGAAGTTGAGGAGTTGTTTTTCTGTAGTTTACTCTATGAATTTTCTATACCTTCATTATATTTTTTCTCACTATATTTTAAATATAGCATGTTTAGAACATTTCCCATAGATGTTTTGTGGGGTTAAAGACTTTGTGCAATCTAATTCCAGTATAGCCCAGAAGTTTCTCAGTAATCTAGTAACTTCTGAGCAATATGAATGACCTGGAGGATGTACAGACTAAGTACACACACACACACACACACACACGCACACGCACACGCACACGCACATGCACATGCATGCACAGTCAGCCCTTTGTATCCATGGGTTCCACACAAGTGGATCCAATCAACTGCAAGTCAAAAATATTAAAAAAAGACTGAGTTTTATACTAAATACAAACAGACTTTCCTTGTCATTATTTAGTGAACACTGTAGTGCTGTTTAGATAGCATTACATTGTATTAGGTTTAATAAGCCCAGAGATCATTTAAAGAAGGACTTGGGTTATATGCCATATGCTACACCATTTTACATAAGAGACTTGAGCATCCTAAGATTTTGGTATCCGTATGAGGCGCAGTCCTGGATCCCCAGTCCCCATGGGTACTGAGGGATGACTGTATTACATAAGCTTGAGCATTGACTAAATGCTGCTTGGCAGCATGAGTAAGACAAAAGTCCTATGTGACATTTTCCTGGCCCAAAGAAGGGCTGTGACAATATGGATTTCACCTTTTGCTCAAAGGTCTGCCAAAGTGGATTTAAATGCTGTTTATCCATCACAAGTTGCTAAAGTCTAGTTTTCATCTCCATGTCTGCTGGATTTTTAGGGAAACCTGGCTGTTGCTTCTTTTTGGCCCACTACAGGAGTGTGTTCCTGCTCCGTCACGGCTGGAGCAGGATCCAGCAGTCACCCACCTGGGGCAGGGTTCAGCAGTCATTGGTTTGCTTTTCAGTAAGGATTTGTACCTAAGCCTGCAGGTGGAAATAGCCTGGTGTGGATTCGTTTTGCCACATTGGGTTTCCCACAAGAACAAGTAGGTTGTAGTGTTAGACCTGTGCCCTGCTTAGAGAACGGCAAATGCAGTCACCTATAGAGCATCACAAAGGCGATAGAGTTGGTTGGTTTTGTTCTCTTTTACCGTCATTTCTGCATCTCATCAGAATAGGTTAAGAGAGTTGGTGGGGAGGGGGACGGGGAATAATTTTTGGCTGACTCAGATGCACCGTGCTGGACAGCTCCCAGCCTCTGCAGCTTCTCCCTGGCTTCCAGGAAGGCTGGGACAGGAGTGAGAAAACATTCACTCCTTACACCTTCCAGAGGCGTGTCTGGAGAGTTCTGTGCAATCCTGTGTCTTAGGAAGCAGCTGCTTTTGGCTGTGCTTGGAAAGGTGTGAAGAGTAGGCAGGCAGCTCCATGGCAGGGTGGCAACAGACACAGGAGCAAAGAAGGTTCTCATCCTAACCAGCTTGCTCTGGTTTTTTGCTTATACATGCCCTTTCCAAGCTAGGACACAGGCCCTCTCCTTTTGTCAACCTCGGTCGGGAGTGACACTCTTTGCTGGCTTGAGCATATCTTGCAGAGAGGGCTTACCTGCATTCTAAGTAGGACACAGAGACAATAGCATGACTTCAAAAAAGAAATCAGAGTGAGGAGAGACATGGAAAGAGTGGCAAGTTCTCACCACCCACCAGAGGCAGGAGAGCCAAGTGCATAGGAACACAAGGCTTGGCATCAGCTACATAGGGTCAGTCCCTCGCTCTGCTTTTTTTCTTTTTTTGACAGGGTCTCACTATATATCCCCCAAGCTGGCCTTGATGGTCCTCCTGCCTCAGCCTCCCACATGCCAGGATTACAGGCATGTGCCACCACTTCTGGCTCATGGCACTGCTTTCCTATTGTGTGATCCTGAGCAAACTGTCTACCTTCCACCTCTCCATCTTCTCATCTGAAAGCAGAGTGACATGGGCGGGTCCTGTGAGAATCCAGCGATAACATATGGGAGTCCCCTGATTCTTTGTCTGCTTTTATTAGACTACTTCTTTTTACTCATGGTAGTTCTCTGAAGAAGAACATGGAAGAAATTGGGATTGTTCAGCCTGAAGAAAGGATCAGAGAAAAGGACTTGAGAGTTATCCTGAGATGTATGACATGGCAGAGAGAACACTTATTTTTCATGTTCTGACACTGTGACTCAGAATATGGGCCCTTGCAGGCAGGCAGATTTCACCCCAATGAGAGTCTGCAGCAGTGCTGCTCAAGCACAACCACGTGGTCTCACCTGGTGCCCGGCTCCCGTTGCCAGGCTTCTGCTGACAGGTGCTGGGTGGCCGCAGCACTGGGGAGCTTGAGAGAAATGCTGTTGCTGGTGCCTCATTCTCTTCCATCTCTGTGATGCCAGGAATTTTATCAAAGGGCTTCGTCTCTGGACTCCTGAGGGAACTCAGGGAAAAAAAAAAAAAAACCAGAAGGAATTTCTGAGGGATCTGTGAAGCGCTGAGTTCCAAGCTCATTTGCTGAGAAGAGAAGGTGGCTCTCAGCAGTTTCCTCCTTGTATTAGTTAGCAAAGGCTGCTGCAACAGAGAACCACAGACTGTGGCTTAAACAACAGAAATGTATGGTCTCAACAGTTCTGGAGGCTGGAAGTTCAAGATCAAGGTGCCAGCAGTATTGGTTCCTGCTGAGGCCTCTCTCCCTGAGGATGGTGGCCCTCTCCCTGTGTCTTCACACAGGTCTCCCAGTCATCACATGTCTGTGTCCTAATGTCTTAGAAGGACACCAGTCATTGGATGAAGGCCCCACCCCAATGACCTCATTCAATCTTTTCTCATTTTTTGCTAGATGCTTTATTACATTATTTATTTTTATTATTAACATATAATAGTTGTACAGGGAAATACAGTGTGATATTTACATATGTGCTTACAATATATCTTACTTAGATTTACCCCCTCTATCTCATTCCTACCCTCCCTGCTTCTTAGAACAATTTCAACAGGTTTCATTCTTCTGTTTTCCCATAACTAAGACCCATTCCTCAGTATCCTCTGGGCATTGGTTCCAGGACCTCCCTCAGATACCCAAATCCTCAGATGCAAAGTCCTGCTTGTAAAATGCAAATATTTCCATGTAACTCTTCCACTTTAAATCATCTCTGGATTGCTTGCAGCACTTAATACAGAGTAAACGCTATGTAAATAGTTACATATAGTTGTTACAAATAGCTGTGGATAATAATAAGAGAAAAGTCAGCACAAGTTCAGTACAGAGACATTTTTCATTTCAGAATATTCTCCATCCACAATTGGGGTCTACCTACACAACAGTGCAGAACAACATTCTGAGGTGGGGGGGCGGGGTTAGGACTTTGGGGCCCATAATATTCATAGCAAGGAATTTGTGCTCTGAGTGGTAGGGATTGTCACCTGTGCCCGCCTTCAGGGGTTGTTGATGCATTCTTCACAGCATCCTGTCTTATTCCCTTCTCTTAGGTGAACGGCCCTTTCCCTGCACGTGGCCAGACTGCCTTAAAAAGTTCTCGCGCTCAGACGAGCTGACCCGCCACTACCGGACCCACACCGGGGAAAAGCAGTTCCGCTGTCCGCTGTGCGAGAAGCGCTTCATGAGGAGCGACCACCTCACCAAGCATGCCCGGCGTCACACCGAGTTCCACCCCAGCATGATCAAGCGATCGAAAAAGGCACTGGCTAACCCTTTGTGAGGTGCTACCACCCACGGCATCCAGGGAGGGATGGCCCCCCGAAGGACAAAACTACTCCCAGGAAACAGACAGACAGACACGTGGATACCCAGCCCCAGCAGAGGCGTGCTGACAGTGGGAGGTCACTGCTCTTTGGTCAATATTCTAATTTTCCTCTCCCTGCATTGTTTTTGAAAAAGCACACGGTAGCCTGAGATCAAAGTCAACACTTGATCCCCTTTAGAGAGGCAACTCTCTGACTGCTAGAGGGAAGGCAAATGCTTTTTTGTTTTGTTTTGTTTTGTTTTTTCACTTTTACTTTTTGGGGGGAAGGGGGGAGGGAGGGGACAAGGCCAAGACTGGGGTAGAATTTTCAAGATTCACACTGGTGTACATATGTCTGACTGGGTGAGTTGACCTGTGGTGTCACACAGAAATTCTGGGCCCTTTATGCTTGCTGTCTCTCAGAATTGTTTTCTTACTTTTTAATGTAATGAGAAGTGTGCTTCAGTTTAGCAAATCCACTCTCTGATTGAATCACGGTTAACTTTTGAGATTTAAAGAAACAAACAACTCCATAGCACAGCTGTCTTTATGCAAGCAAGAGCACATCTATTCCAGCATGAGCCGTCATCTAAAGACTTGAAAACAAACAAACAAAAAAGTTACTTATAGTCAATGGGTAAGCAGAGTCTGGATCTATACTAACCAAGACAAACCTTGTAAAGGTTATCCTAAGTCCGGAACTTGTAAACCTTGCTTTGTATGAATTGTACTTTTTGGACATAAAGCTGCACTTTTATTTTCTAATGCAGAGGATGAATAAGTTAAATACATGCTTTAAGGGTAGAAGCAGATATTCTGTTTGGCACAACGTTATAATCTGCTTATTTTATCAGTATACACGTTTCCCTAAGAAATCACAGCCGATTGTGAGCGCAGAATACACACAAGGCATACTGAAGGAGAAGGAGGGTAGCATTTTCACAAGTCCAAAAAAGAGCAAACAATTTTAACTCTAGTAACTTGTCCAAATTTTCCTGTCCTTTCAGTTAGCACCGTCTTATTATATCATCATGCCCCTGAGAGAGACAGAGAAAGAGCTTCCACCTCCCTGGTGTTACTTGAATGGGTGTAACAGTCACCAGGCCTGGAAATGCCTAATTTTTTTTGGAGGGGGTGAGGAATGTTGGTCTCCTTCCCATGTACCTATAAAACTCCCACTCTCAGGTGCAAGAGTTATGTCAAAAGAAAGGGAGCTGAACTATGAAAAGAAAAATATACCCCTGGAAGCACTAAGTGTCAAGGGAAAATACCACGATGATTTCAGAGGTGACTGCCAATTAGTTCCTTTTGGTGAATGTAGGCAAAACGAATCATGCATGAGTGAAATCCGATCACCGTACCTTTCCATCAGTAGCCTTGCCACTGTAGATCTCATCTCTAGGTGTCTACAAGGCCTATACCACTGCATTCATACTACACCACTTACCGAAAACTTCATTTCGGCCTTTACATGGCCAGAAAAATGAACTGAGTTTTCATAGTTAAAACAGCAACAAAAAGCAAACCTCAGATGAGGGGAGTCAGCAGTGATCATGGGGAAAATGTTTACATTTATTTTTCTTCAGAAATAACGCTTTCTGGCGATTTTATCTGATACATATTTTCAAACAGGGAGCTATGGTGCACTCTAGTTTCTCCATGTGCTACAAAACGTGTTGTGTAAACACAGGGCGCCCACCTGTAGGTGAGCTTGGTGTTTCACCTGACCCACGCTCATTTCTGATTCAGCATCGTTGAGGGGGGGGCTCCTGCAGTGGGCATGGGTCACAGCTGACTCCAACTTCCAGTACAATAGCCATCACTAGCACGGTGTTTTTTGTTTAATCAGCGTAGCCGTATCAGTAGTTCTATCAAGAGAACTGCTTTTAACATTAGGACTGGGAGCAGTCCATGGGCTAAAAAGGAAAGTGTTTTCTCATGAGAAAACATGTCAGGAAGAATAAAGAACACTTTCTACCTCTGTTTCAGACTTTTGAAACGCTTATTTTAAACCAAATTTTAATTTCTGTGTCCAAAATAAGTTTCAAGGACATCTGTTCTTCCATACGAAATAGGTTGGGCTGCCTATTTCTTACTGAGCTCACGGAAAGGCTCTGCTTAGGGTACTCTGCACGCTGCCTTTTAGTAAGTGAGGAGTTTGGGGTTGCCTAGCAACTGGCTAACTTGGAAAAACTCAGCTTTCCCTCGCAGAAAGAAACAAGGAAAACAAAGTCAAGTCAGTGAAAGACAATCTTTATCGTTTCAGGAGTAAGTCTAAATGTGGCTTTTGTCAAGCACTTAGATGGATATAAAATGCAGCAACTTGTTTAAAAAAAATGCACAATTCCCAAAAAAGTTGCTACTTGCCTTTTCAAGTTGTTGACAGACACACATTTGATATTCTCTTATATGTTATAGTAACATAACGTATAAACAAGGCTTTTTATTCTTTGTGATAAATCCTGTTTTACAACATCACAAAACAGGAACCAGCATTCAAATTAGATTTACTATATCAAGATGTGGTTCAAATAGGACTACTAGAGTTTGTTGAACACTAAAACTACAAAACAATTACTTTTTATATTAAAAAGACCATGGATTTAACTTATGAAAATCCAAATGCAGGATAGTAATTTTTGTTTACTTTTTTAACCAAACTGAATTTTTGAAAGACTATTGCAGGCGTTTAAAAGGAAAGAGAAGCTGTTTTATCTAATACTGTAAGTAGTTGTCATTTATGGAAAATTTAATAGTTTTAGAGTTAAGAGATCTCCTCTTCTTGGTTGGGGAAGAAGAAGCCCTTGGTCGTTGTGGAATGGTGCCCTGGCTTTAAGCTCCACATCATGCTTATTTTGAGAATTCGATTTGGTAGTTACAATTACAGAAAACAATCAGTTTGTCAGTTTCCAGATAGATTTAGCAGTACCCGTCACCCTGGGTAGATCAAGATGCTCTTTCACAATGGATGGATGGTCTGTAACACTGTAAGATACTGATCTTTACAACTGTTTAATCGGTTTTATTTTTGTACAGTATTAGTGACCTAAGTTATTTTGCTGCCCCATTTTTGTAAATCAAATGAAACTATAAGAGGATTCTGACAGTAGGTATTTTGTACATATGTATATATGTTGTCCAAATAAAATAATAAATGATAAAGACTGAATTGTTCCAGACATTATGTGTTGTAAAAGGAACACATTTCATCATAAGAGAAGTGGCTTTGTTAATCTGGGCTCACGGGATTGTAGGATGAATGCAAAGCTAATTTTACCCTGTACCTTTCAACACGTGCCGTGTTTGTATGAACTTGTATTTACTTGTCACAAACCTTCAAAGGGGTTATGTGGAAGGTAGGCCACTTGAAACTACGGTGGTATGCTGGAGATAAAGCATTTTGAGATAAATCACTTAAAGAGGTTTTTAAAGCTAGGTGAAGGTCTACTGGGGACAGGTCAGAGAGAGTGTTAAAGACTCAGATGGACTTCTTGCTATGACACAACAAGAGTACCCAAATCAAGGTTTCCAGAGCAGGACAGTAAAAACATACCAAGAAAAGATGAGCAGCAGTATTTGGGTGTGTATTCTGATTTGTGTAATTAGACTAGCTATTACTTATTAAGCTCTTCCTGTATACTAGTCATGGTGCCAAGTGTTAAAGTTTCTCATTTAATCCTTTCAGCGGTTCTGTGTGGCAGAGAGAGTGTTGCTCTCTGTATATTTCAAATGAGGAAACAAGATTGAACAATTTGCCAAGAGAAACATCTAATAAGTGGTGTAGATGGTACCAGCTGACTCTCCCTTATCCAAAATACTTGGAACAAGAGCTATTCTGTATTTCAGAGATTTTTTTTTTGATTTTGGAGTATTTGCATATGCATAATAAGATATCTTGGGGATGGGACCAAGTCTAGGCATTAAATTCATGTGTTTTTCATATATACTTTACATACATAGTCCAAGGCAACTTTTTGCAACATTTTTAGTGTGCTTGGGTTTTGACTGCAACCACTCAACAAGGTCCAACATGGAATTTTCCACTTGGGACATCATGCTGGCACTCAAAAATTTCAGATTTTAGAGCATTTGAATTTTCATATTAGGGCTATTCAACTCATATTTGAATATAGATCTGCTGAATCCAGTCCACTGCCTCGGAGCAGCAGGGGACTTTCTGGAATGTAATCATTCTTTTGACCCAATTTATTGAGCACTCCTATTAGTTCCAGCCGCTGTTGTCACAAAGGTGAAAAAACAGATCAGGTTCCTGCAATAAAGGCGCTCATAGTCAGTGGAGGAAAACACAAGTACACAATTATCTATATGGCTTTGGGTGGTGAGAAGTATAACGATGGCAAAACAGGGTGATTAGATCGGGGCTTGAGGCTGGAGAGAGACTCCTTACAGGGAGTGTTCAGGGAAGGTCTCCCCAAGGGGACTTAACCATTTAAACTGGAACTTAGATAACAAAGAGGAGTCAGCCATGCAAAGATGTGGAAGGAATGAGGATGCCAGGGCAAAGAGTCTGATAGGAATACAGTTAGCATTTTGGAGTAACTGAAGGAAGGACACGGGTGGCTGGAGTGGAAACAGATGGGAAGAGAGGGAAGACTAGGGGAGGTTGTCAGGAGTCGGCTCACAAATTGTGGCCTTGTCTTGCTTGCAGGTTAGAACTTGGTGCTTGCTTCTGAGTCTAAGGGCAGGAGGATCTATTGGAAGTTTAGAGCGGAGTGTGCTATGATCCGATGTATAGTTCAGCAAGCTCTTTCTGGGGTACTGTGTGAAAAATGGATTCCTTAGAGATGAGTGGCAGTTGAGAGACTAGCGAGGAGATTGTTGCATTTGTGTAGGTAAAAGACGTTAGTCATCCAGACTAGGTGGTTAGCAGTGGAGATGGAAAGAAGTGAATATTCCCAGAACTATGCTGGAGGCAGGACTTGATATGAGGATGTGAGGGGAAGAGAACAGAAAAGTCCAGGTAACCTCAGGTTTATTTTCTAAGGAACAAGAGGCTAATGCAGATGGAAGAGATGGAGGAAAGCAAAAAAGGAGAGGCTTGGCAGGAGGGAAACTTAACAGATTCATCTTTGGACATGGTGAAGCTGAAGACCCCATCAGATGTCACATGGAAATGTCTATAGAACTATCCTATATTAGAGTTCAAAAAGAGAGATCTGGACTGGAGACTATATAATTATAGGTCTACAGGTCATAAATGACAATAATTGAAGCCAAAAAAGTAAGTGAGATGGGGACGAGCTACGATATACAACAAGAGTGGGGTGATCAATTGAATGCTGTCAAAGGGTGTACCAGTGCTGGGAAGGCTCCACCATGTTTAGGAACTGGAGCTCATCAGTGGCCAATTAGAATGCTGGAAATACAAATCTAGCTCATTAGCTGGAAGCAGCAATTGGGAGGCAAAAATCCGCAAGTAGGAAGTACAGTCAATTCTTGCACAGTTTGCAGAAAACAAAACAGGCTTGATTAGTAGACAGACTTGATCAATTTCAGACAGGGAAAAGAGATGCAGCAGGAGAGAAACAAAACAAATAAGGAAAACAGAATCTGTGTGTCACTTAAACCTCTTTATTACAAGTTAGTTTCTCAACCCAGGCATGGTGGTGCACACCTATTATCCCAGCACTTGGGAGGCTGAGGCAGGAAGATCTCAAGTTTGAGGCCAGCCTGGTCTTACAACCATAGTGAAACCCACTGGCCCCAAAATTTTAGGTTCTCAGTTTGGAAAATGCAAAATTATATGTGCATGTTCATGTGCACATGTGCATTTTACTGGAAACTCGCCTAAAATGAAATCACAAAGGCTAAATTTAATGGTTGGTAAAGATAAAGACCAAAAAAAAAAAAAAAACCTAACACTTCAACACTTTAGTAGTCACTAATGTGGAAAAAAATGAGATCTAAGACAAAGGGAACTGGGTCAGAGAGGAGATAGCATGGTTTTTTAATTGTGCTTCTTGGAGAATATTTATTTTGAAGTCATCAAGTTGATATGTATGCCAGGTCATTACAGGATTTTCAGATGACTAAGGAAAGTCCACCACACAATTGCTCCAGTAATAAGGAGTATGTTCACTGCCATAGTTTCCAAAGAAGTTTTATGGTGATTATAAATTCCTGTATCAGCATGTTTTATGTGAAGACATAGCTGTCTAGTAACACTCCATCAAAATAGAAGTCAAAATGCAAAAAAGCTAGGGAATTATATTTATCTATTTATTAAAGGAATTACATTTCCTTTAATTTACACCAAACTGTTAGAATGTAGACTTGAAGCTATACCTGGCTCACATTTTTTTTTTTTTGCAGTACTCGAGTTCGAACTCAGGGCCTCATGCTTGCTAGGGAGGCAGTCAATCCTGAGCCACTCTGCCAGTCCTTTTATGTGTAGCATATTTTCAAGATAAGGTGTCATGAACTATTTGCCTGGACTGGTTTCAAACTGTGATCCCTCTGATCTCTGCCTCCTGAAGAGCAAGGATCACAGGCATGAGCCACCAGCACCCGGCTCACATATTCTTTAAAAATGTCTATGCAACCACAGAAAACATTATATAATAAGAGTGTAAACAACATGGATATTATATTCTCTGATCACAAGGCAATGAAGGGAAAAATTAACAAAAAGGATTTTTTTAATGCTAAAAATACTCAGAATGCTGAGGCAGGAGAGTCCTGAGTTCAAGGCCAACCTAGGCTTCACAGCATGACTATCTCACAAACAGGGACAAAAAGCAAAATAAGGATAAAAAGCTTTCTTAAAATAATTCTTAGATCAGAGAGAAAATACAAATTATAATGAATTTAAGATAAAATAGAAATATATATAGAAAATATACCCTAACGGGCTGGGGTGTCTCTGTGTGTGTACATATATGTATACATATAACATATATGTATATACGTACACACACACATATATATCCTAAAGCCGTACATAGCCTCATATGCTTTACTTTCTTATACTCTACTAATATGAAAAATATTAAGTAAATCAAGGAATGAATTCACGAAACCACAAAATGAACAATATTTAAGAAAAGCACGAGAAAATTAAGAAATGGAATTGTCATATAAACCCAAGAAATAGATCTTTGAAAAGACCAATAAAATAGACACTTTTGGTAAAGCCAAATAAGAAAAGAGAAAAACCTAACTATAGGACATTATGAATAATGAGAGCTATAACTACAACATAAAGAGGCAGTAATTTTGAACATCTTGATAAAATGGCTCTTCTAAGTGAACAGTTTGGTTGGGCAGAACAGCTAGAGTCTAAAAAACTTCTTAAAAAAGTAAACAAGTATCAGAGAACTTCGCACACCAAATAATTTATAGGCAAATTCTTTCAAATTTTTAAGGAACCAATATTTCCTTTAATTTACACCAAACTGTTAGAATGTAGACTTGAAGGAAATGATGAAAATACATAGGTTCATTTTTGGAAGCTAGTTTAACTCTGTCTTGCAAAAGTAGCTAAGAATATTTTATGAAGCAAAAGCAATCTGGGAGAATTTGTCCCCCCAGCGACTAGTCTATTTTGAAGAAATAAGAATGTATAAGAATTTATTTTACAAGAGTAGCACCATAAATCAATGAGGAAAGCATGAATTATCCAATAAATGTTGTTTAGCCAAAAGATTATCTAGGAAAAATTCAAATTATACTACCAAAATGAGTATTATATATATTTAAGACCTAAGCAAAATTATAAAAAGCACTTAAAATGTAAGTGAAGATTCATAAAATCACAATTAATAGATTTCACTTTTTAAAATGAGAAACTTTGTTTTAGCCCAGAGTCTTAGAGCCTAGGAACTTTGTAGTCCATGCTGGCCTCCAACTCACAACCCTCTAGCCTTAGCCTCCCAAGTGCTGGGATTACAGGTATGTACCTCCATACCCAACTTAAAATGTAACACTCTTATAAGTGAAAAGTTAGCCTAAACAAAGTTAAAAAAATACAGATATGAATATGGAAAATGCACATCGAGAGGATTAATATCTTTAATGTATGACATAAACCCATATGAAAAATGAATACATATTTAGAAAAATCTGACAAATTATATAAGTTGATATTTTATAAAATAAGAAAAATAGCCAATAAACGTTTAAAACACGTTTTCCATGCTTTCAACCAAAGAAATCCAAAATAATGAAGTATAATTACATGCAATTGGCAAAGACTTAAATAAAGTGCCCATTTAGTAGAGAATTAAGGGAGATGGATAAATTCCTAGTGAGAATCCAAACTGGCAACATTTTATTCTAGGAGAAAATTGGACCATAAGAATTTTTAAAACCACAAAATGTTCATATCTTCAACAAAGCAATTGCATGCACAAGGCATTATCATGAATGTTGGCAAACAGCTGCAAAAATTTACATACTACCTTTTATAATAGCAAAAATTCAAAAACAATCTCAATGTTCAACTCTAATAGATTATTTAAGTAACTGGACTATTATGTACCCATTATAAATGATGGAGAAGAGCTTTTTACCAAGGACATTCTATAGAACATTAATTTCCTAAATGTTACATCATCAGAGGATCCTGTGATTAAATAAGTTTGGGATACTCTGGCAAGGTGAGCCAGGTTTCTCTACAGGAGTTCTTTGCAAATTCTTTGTTATGATCTAAAACATGTCATTAATATCCAAGTGTTGACATGCATGCAGAATTGCACACACTTTCTTGTCTATGGTTATTTTGCCTTTTTTGTTGTTCATTTTCTAGCCATGTTTTGCCAACAAGACTTTGGGAAATGATAAGGAAACATGTTCATGAAATATTTAGTGTAAAAACGGTATGAACAGCCTATTTCCATTTAAAAATATATGTGATGTGCTTAGAAAAAAGACTAGAAGGACTGAAAGGGTACTTCATAAGAACGTTAGCTTTGACTATCCATGCGTAAGAATATTGATAATTTTTAATGTATGTTCATTATAATATTCAATATAATATATATTCAAGTTTCTACAAGGTAATGTAGATTACATTCCTGTAAAGAGTGGAGAAGAAAGAAAATGCCAAGGAGTCAATGTAAACACCCTCTTAAGATGGCAGCATGAATCTCCCAGGTCTTTCATAAGGGCTTATTTGCCTGTCTAGCCATCATTAAATGAAGCTTTTTTAGTCATCCACTTTTGGACAGCCTGTCCCATCACAGGTAGATCAGCCAGGGCCCCACATCTGGAAGTCAGTTGGGTTGATGCTGGGTGGCTCCATAGTTGCTGCCCACACAGGATCACAGACTCTCAAGTACTCTCATAGGTTTTCTAGTTCTTGTAGCTTCTGTTGACCTTGGCATGGAAGTACTTGCTGCTCCTGTTTCAGCTCAATTGCAAGAGTTGAGTGCAGCCACTTCTCTTCCCTCTGTCACCGTGAATCAGTTCTTCCTAAGCTGAGACACCACCTTCAGTGGCTGCTAACCCATGTTCCAATCCTAGCTGGGAACCAGGTCTAGACAGGTTAATTACATTCTTTGAAACTTAATTTCCTCATTTATGAAAAGATAGGGTCTAAGTAATATCCTCTTACTTCACTGTGAAGATTACAACAAGAAGTTATGCAAACCTCTAGCATGGCACTTGGTGGAACACTAGCTTTTTCAAAAAATGCTGCTCTTTTCATGCCTTACTCCCAGAGTGGGTGTGGCCCTCAATTAACAGTAAGAGTTACAATCCCCTTTCTCTCTCCCTCCTGAGTCAAGTGTTCTTACATCAGCTTTGTTTATGGAAATGAACTGGAGGAGGAGGGAGGTTGGTATCTGCAAAATTATGGTCTTGTGTCTGTTTCTGTAGGGTCAGAAAGCTGAGAATGGTCTTTATATCTTTAAACAAAAAATTTTAATGTATATTAACTGTATGTAGTAATGGGTTTTATTATGACATTTCATAATGTATATTATGTACTTTGTGTTCTTATTCACAGTCCCCTCTCTTGTTCCTCTTCCCCCATCTCCCACTGGTCCCCTTCCTCTTCCCAAATAGTCTTCTTTCTATGTTCATGACATTTTTTTAACTCTATGTTCTACATATAAGAGAAAATATGCACTATCTGCCTATTGTCTGACTTACTTCACTATGATGATCTCTAGTTCCATCCATTTCTTTCAAAATGACATAATTTTATTCTTCTTTATGGATGAATAATGCTCTATTGTGTACATGTACCACATTTTCTTTATCCATCCATCTGTTGATAGCCACCTAGACTGATTGAATAATTTGGCTATTGTGAATAGTGCTGCAATAAACATGGGTGTGTAAGTATCCTCTTGCATGGTGCCTTTGACTCTCTCAGATATATACCCAGGAGTGGTACAGCTAGATCGTATGGTAATTCTACTTTTAGTTTTTGAGGAACCTCCATACCAATTTCTACAGTGGCTGGACAAATTTGCATTCCTAATAGTGTATAAGAGTTCTCCTTTCCCCCCTGCATTTTTGGTTGGCATTTTTCTTTTTCTTTCTTTCTTTTTTTTTTTTTTTTTGGCAGTACTGGGGTTTGAACTCAGAGCTTCATACTTGGTAGGCAGGTGCTCTACCACTTGAGCCACTCCTCCAGCCCTTGTTTGTTTTCTTGATGACAGCCATTCTGACTGGGGTAAGATGGAATCTCAGTTCAGTTTTGATTTGCATTCCTTGATGGCTAAGGTTGTTGAATATTTTTTTATGTATGTATTGGTCATTTGCACTTCCTCTTTTGAGAACT